TGACCTCCACTGAACTGCCTTACAGTATTAACCAAACCCATGTGTTCCTATAGCTAATGCTCATGGAAGACCAAATGGTCCAGATCAAGAGGCTTCATTCTTGTACACCCTCACACTTTCACTCCCACAAATTGAGCCTTATGCTTTTTATGCTTACCAAGAGTCAACTATGTTTGTTCTCAAATTTGTTTATGCCAGCTTCATTTTCTATTGCAATTAAATAATTTAATATTTAAAGTAATGTGTTGGAAATCTTCTATGTTTCGCTACTAATAACTGAAAACTTGAGCAAACCAATAAGTATTGTATGCATAAGTAAAAATGATGACTTAATCTAGAACAGTGGCTCCGAATATATTGTATATGGGAACTCCTCTTTAAGGTCTAAAATTAAGCTGTAGAAAACGGAAGCCCCCACCACATAAGGTTATGAAGCACGTAAATGTAGCCAGTGCAACTTGAGGAACTTAATTTTTACTATTATTTAACTTAAGTGTAATTAGCCAGCATCAGAAGTAAGATATGTAGTACATGTAAAACACATGCCAAAATTTGAAAATTTAGTGTGAAAATATAAAATATCACTTTAACAATTTTATACCAATTACATGTTGAATATTTTGAATATACTGGGTTAAATAAAATATATTATTAAAATTTTACATATTTCTTCCTTTTTATAATGTGGTATCAAGAAAATTTTAATTTATTTGTAGCTCATATTACACTTCTGTTGGTGAATACGGTCTACAATGTTTGATGATCTGTCCAAATAGCTATTGATTATAAAACTGTATCACAAAGTTACTATGAAGCTGGCTAGTCCAATGATTTCATATTTTACTAAATCACAACAGCAACCACAAATAATGCTTAGTGCACACGGAGATTTCTGGATTTTCTGAAATATCTCTGGCCTAAAGTTTGAGAAATACTGTCTAGAATTCCTATCACAATTGGTAATGACATGAAATTCTTAAGATAAAAAACATTAATTCCTAGAATAAGGTTTTCAATGGTCTTATGATTAATCAGACAATTGTATTTATATTTAGGCAGAAATGAACTTCTTTCCTCCCTGCAGAAATACCACTATGTTTCTTCCTTCCAACTCAACTACCCTAAAAATCAGTAACAACAAGCTCTTTTGACATTTTCAAAGACATGCGATTTAGAGCACAGAAATAACCACTGGTGATTGGGTCTTTCAACTACACTACCAAACTTTTGAATTCTACTAAAATTACATTTAAATAATAACTCCTTTGAGTCTTCAGTCTTACCTTATCATTTTGTTCTCCCTTTTTCAATTCTATCAATTAAAGTAAGTAAATTCTTATTAGTACATATAAAAATGTCCTTGAAGTTCTGGTTTTATTTCTCTTTAATACTAAGTTAACGGAAATATAAAGCAAGGCATTTGCATAGTATGCCTGATAAGAAAAAATCAAGAACAGGCTGGGCGCAGTGGCTCACGCCTGTTATACCAGCACTTTTTGGGAGGCCGAGGTGAGTGGATCACCTCAGGTCAAGAGTTCCAGACCAGCCTAGCCAACACGGCAAAACCTTGTCTTTAAAATTAGCTGGGCGTGGTGTCACACGCCTGTATTCTCAGCTACTCAAGAGGCTGAGGCAGGAGAATCCTTTGAATTCGGGAGGCAAAGGCTGCAGTGGGCCAAGACTGTACCACTGCACTCCAGCCTGGGCAACAGAGCGAGACTCTGTCTCAGAAAAAGAAAAAAAAAATCAAGAACAGATTATGAGAAATCAGATTGGGGTGTAGCTCCACACATCATTTCACTTAACCAAAAAAAATCCCCAATACTTGATTTACAGCATGTGTTCCGAATAAAAGACTATGCAGATGTTAATTTAATGTTTACAAAGAGCGGTTTGACCTCAAAACTATAGCAGTTTTATTACTGTGAATTTTGTTGCACACACCTACAGGTTACATAACCTAAATATTTATTAAGTAGTCAATTCCATCTTCCTATTCTGGTTTACTGATTAAAAAAGCATAACATTGTTTCTTAATAATCCTTTTAAATGTGGAAAGAATGCCATAAAACCCTTTTCCAGAGATTATGAACTCTGGCTTAACTAAATTATTAGAAAGATTATACTTGTTGGTGTTATTAAGTTTCCTTTTGGGGTGAATGTAGGGAAGAAGAAAGTACGAAAGTTGAGCAATCTGCAGGGCAAGAGGAAGCAGAGTTACATAAGCCATGCTTGGGACACAGTTTAAATTCAGAGCTTTAGGGAATGCTTTACAGAGAGGGAATAAATTACTCACCTGACAAAACTTGGTCCAACAGTGTCACTGCAATAAAGGATATATTCTGGGGACAAAGTACTCTAATTTAAAGTATCTTAAATACAAAATCAAGCTTAAAGAACTCCTAGCTGGCACATCTCTTTACATATATTTTATGCCACAGAGTTATATTGACAAGTGAGATAAATTACTACATACCTGGGAGGAGCTGTTGGATAAATAATTTTTATGTGTTGGAATGTTAAATCTTGATTTAAAACCTGCTTGATCCACATTCTTAATCTTTGTCCAGAATCACCTGATGAATCACAAAATCAAGATTAAAATAAATATTTTAGTAATACAATGCATTTCAAAGCAGTCTAAAACTTTTATGTCACACAGAGGATGGAATAAGGGATTTAAAAAACCTACATACATAATAATAACTGAATAGAAACTGACTTATTACTATGAATTAACTAACCAGGTCTCAGTAACTAGCATTAATTTTGATTATTTTACTCCTGGCTTCACCATTGATTACTCTGAAGATCTTGTTTAAGCTTAAGTTTTAAGTTTCCTAATTGTTTAGTGGGTACTACAGGAATAAATAAATTGATTTTTCTAAAAAAAAGAATTATTTCTGTATTTATATGTGATTTTTAAGTCATTTATCTTATTCTTAATAGTAATAAATTCCTAAAGTGATTGTTAAGCTTCTGTAGTTAGAAGAACCTAATATAATTTTCTTGGTTTAAAAAAAGTCCAAAAGGTATACTCAATGTAATTTTAACTTGAAGAAATCATAATTTAATTTTGACAACATGTTTGCATGATCCAAAAGAATGATTATCTACTCCAAAGCTGATAAGTAATAAAAAATCATACAAATATTAATATATATGTATTTACACAAAAAATGGAAGGAAATAGAAGTCCATCTTATGGAGTCCTGAGGAGGAAATTAAGAGGTCACAACTTTAATTTTTTCATCAATTAACTCATTAAGGTGTCAGTTCAAAAACTGTCTATTGAATCCCTATTAATGTATCAAACACTGTGTTCACCGCTAGAGAGGCAATGATGGCGGGGTAATGGAGTAATAGAGTCCATATTCTTATGGAGTCTGTAGCATATTGCGAAAAACAGAAATTAGTCAAAAAATCACACAAATAAATGTGAAAGGCAAATGTAATTGCTTCAAAGATGAGACACTTGCTGCTGCAAGGATTTATTATATTCAGAATTGACTGGCTTATGGAGTTCAAGGATAAATGCACTAGCCTATAAACTATGCAAGACGAAGTTTATTACGTATTTTATCTGAGTTATTTGTTCACATAGTGCCTAGAACAGGACTGACAAAAATTGGGTATCCAAAGATAGTTGCTGAATGGTTTGAACTAAAGTCTATAGGACGGTGAGAAGTGCAGGGCAGAAGCAAAAAGTATCCCAGGCCAAGGAAAGGGCAGGTGCCAATATTCTGGACAAGAGGGAGCAGTAAGACACGTAAGAACTGAAAAGCAGAGAATGAAAAGAAGAGCAGTGTCTATAAAATGAGACCAGAGAAACTGTAGGAACCTGACAAATCTGTTCATGGAGAAGCCATGAATATTTCTGACAGAAAGGTTGGCATGATTCTAAAGGATCAATCTGAAAATGTGTCAAGACAGAATTGAAAGAGAGCAAAAGTAGATGTACAGAGATCAGTTAGGAAACTATTGTTCATGCTTAGACTAGGGTGATGATATAGATAGAAACAGATATTAAAGAAATTTAGGTGGTAAAATTAATAGAGATTGGCAATGGATTTGTTATTAAGGGTCAATAGTGAAAGATTTCATGGATGACTAACAGGCTTTTGACCAGAGTAACTGGGTGAACAATAATACTAGACACCTGCCTAGGCAGGAAACATAAGCAACAGGCATACACAGGTTGAGTGTGAGGTGCCTCTTTGTAATGCATACAAGGTCTAATACCATGGGTTGATTGAGCAACTATGGACAGGTAGAGGGGGGGACAAAATCCAACCTAGGGTCCTTAAGGAGGATAAGCTAACAATGAGTTTCACATTATTAAAAAGTCCTTTCTTAAAGAGAAGGGAAAAATATAGGGAAGAGACCTTACATGGCCCACAAAAGCTAAAATGCTTACCTGACTTTTTACTGAAAGTTTGCCAACTATACTACCTGCCCTATACTACCTGGATGCCAGTACCCTCCTGGATATCCCTTCCTATTCTTCTCACTCCAGGCACACTAGCCTTACTGCTGTTCCTTGAACATGTCAAGGAACCTACTCTGGGACCTCCAACTTGGCTTTTCCTTTGTCTAAACAGTCTAACCCAATATCTACATTATTCTCATCACCTAAGTCTAGCTGTAAAGTTTCATCTTCTGTCATCTTTGCAGTGAGGCATATCCTGACTACTTTATTTAACATTGTAACACCGTTCCAACTCTTATCTAAGGAAGCATTCCCTTATCCTGCTTTCTTTGCTTCCATAAAACTGACTACCTTCTACTATAGTATTTATTTATTTCATTAGAACATAAGCTCCATGAGAGCAGTGATTTGTTTTGTTCATTGCTATATGATCAGAGCACAGAACAGTGCCTTACTCATGGAGGCTGTGATATATTTCTTGAATGAATGGATTCATGAATGAATGTATCAGACAGTTAGATAAACTTGTCTAGAGCTCAAAAATAGAATCTATGAATCTCCATAGAAATTCAAACATTCTGTTGTTACCTATACACCGGCGACACAAATGGGTATCTCTAGGAGACTTCTGTGATTAGCCTAGGGAGAAAAATGTAGAGTGAAAAGACCTTGAACCAAATTTAGAGAAACCCCATTATTAATGGCCAGGTAGAGGAGGATGAGTCTGCAAAAGAAACCAGAAGGAGCAAATCAAGATAGAAAAAGAACCAGGAGAGTTTTTTGAGAAGAAAGCTGAATGTGGATGACAGTTCACATAAGAGGAAGACCGAAAATGTCCATTACATTGAGCGACACAGAACTTGAGCTTACTGGTGACTTTACCAAGAAGCTACTTAGTCAACTTGCTGAGCCTTACTACACAAGAAGAAAGCCATAAACAAGACACATGGTTTGGGCTTTGTGGACCTAATAGGTTAGTGTGGAATACAGACATTACGTTACATAATTACAAGTATGATGACTACTACTGAAAGAAGAACCAGTGTCCTATGGGAGCAAATAAGAGTGAATTAATCTGATCTGAGAGACTGAACAAAACTAATTAACCTATCATTTATTTTTATCATCTTAAAAGAAGGTCTGTCTTTAGTACTTTATTAATAGAAAAGGATCAAATTAAGTTGGCTATATATAATTTACACTCCCATATGTTCTTCTATGGCTGCTATCTCCTGGAAGAAAATCTCAAGCTTTTAAGGTTTTTTATTTGAAAAAACAAAATATGTCTTTAATAACATTTTTTCAGCCTTGAAGAGTAAGAATGAAGCTGCAAAACAACATCTATGCATTCACAATGTCTACTTTTTAAAAAGCTAGTACCTTATTCCATAGTACAACTGTTAAAACTGGTTAACAGTATGGTAAAACTGAGTGTGATTAAACTGTTAGAATTGCTTTGCCCATATTCTAATTAAGCAGAAACCAAACATCTCCTATAACATAACCGCATATATTAAAGTTTAATGTAAAATCACTAGCTGCTAAAGACCTACTGGATGATAAAGACCTACTCCCAATAAGGTTTTATTTACTTCAATGGATATTTAAACATATAGGAATCACATTATACTCGCATACTTGGCAGAATTCTTTGCATAAATTCTTGGTTCAAAGTGCAAAGGAAAAAATACATACATACATGACTCTGAATTTTAGAGACATATCATTACAGGTTATAAAAATGTAATCTGAAATTTTAAAAAAAGGATAGTTACTTTTAGCAAAGAGGTCCAGGGGAAAAAAGAACATAGTCTAGGAGTTCTTCCTAAATATAATGAGAATTGATTATGAGAAAGGGTACAGTGTTGGGGAATTTCTGGGTACTTATAAATGAACACTCTTGGAGCCCTAAATAGTATCACCAGTCTCCTAGTTATTAAGTACCGCTGTCATCTTAAACACTTCACCTTCTAAATGTATGCCAAGTCTTTTCCTTTAAACACTATTGGCCCTCTTCTTCCCTATCTCCAAAACAATACATCCTAGTTCAAGCTTTTTCACCTTACCCCACCAAAGCCCTGAGTTTGAGGTCGGAGAGCTTTGGGTTCTAATCCCAAATCCGCCACTACTCACAGTAACAGCTAAGAGACCTTGGCCAAGCTGCTGAACCTGTCTGGCCTCATTTTCAAAATAAAGAGAATACGTCCCACAATTGCCCTTTTCCAGGTCTCTGCCCAGTACCTTTCCAATTCCCTTCCAATCACAGTCCCTTTTAAGCCTATCCGTCTCGGCTCAAAGACCACTTTTCTTCGAAAAGTCTGACAAGCTTTTCATCTTCCAAATGCCTTAATAATGCCTAACCACATTTTTTTCTCTTACAATTCACTTGGCAGGAAACCACGCACCGTCTTGTGATCTTCCCTGCACTGCTGACTCAAACTAATTGGATTGTTTTTGTTTTTAACTTTAGGTAGGCCCCCTGAGGACACCGGCTGCATCTCATTTCTTTAAAAAACATTTCCTGAGAGCTTACCCTGGGCCAAGCACTGGGGGTGCAAAGATTGACACAAGGGCCCTTACTCTCACAATCCAGTGAAGATTGACAAAAGTGATTACAGATGAATGTTAAGAAACGATACAGCATTAAGTACACGTTACTAAGGGTAAGCAGTGGAAGATAACCTGCCCCTGGGGCTCCTGCCCCTGTAATCTATCTTGGAAGTTTAATGACACAGGCGGGAAAGGGGAAGGAAGGAGAGAGAAGCAGGAAAAAGGAAAGGGAGAGAAAACACTCCAACCATGGCACAGTGGGTTACAGAAAAGAGATACTCTGTAAACAGTATCTAAGATTAACTGTGAATCTCAATTGTCTACATTAGTATGGGAGCCTGGAGAAAGCAATGGGCAATTACGACTGAAAAATTTCTAGTAGCTGATCATGAAAAACACTAAATAATTTCCCTCTAGCAGAAGACTTACCTTACTAACTCGCTCTGTTTAAACCTGGGGCGAGGAATGGGGAGGTGGTAAAGGTTGCACTGGAGAGAATGTTGTGTGGATGGAGAGCCGGCTGAGCGGCGGGACACAAGGCCCCAAAGCGAGGGTGGTGGGCCAGTGACCGCCCGATAGAAAGAGGAAGATTAAGGAGAGCTGCTGGGGGCAGGTGGCGCTGCCCGTGCATCCACAGTAGGGGCTGGCGACGGGGGAGCCACCCACTGGGCCCTATTTGGGCCCGGCGACACCTCCACTTGGGCAATACTGGGGTAACCGAGGGGAAGTTGTTTCCCGAGCTGTAGAAAACCAGGACGTAAAATTGAATCCACCTGAGCCATGTAGGAAGATCAGAGAGGCGCTATGCCTCCCAGTCGGCGACACGATACAGCGCTGCAGAACTGACCCCGACGCAGCCGCCATAGCTGATACCACTGCCAGTCATGCGGCTCCGCCCCAGCGTTGCAGCGCGGGACCGCGCACGCAAATACGCAGGCACGGGCGGGGGCACGCCCGAGAGTGCGCATGCGCACCGCGGCTGGCCCGCTCTCCGAGGAGCTTTCGATACTTTGGGGTCAAGTTTGAGGCAGTTGTAAGTGTACTAAGTTTAGTTTTGCTAATAATGGTATTCTACGTGTGTCAGCCTCGTATGGACTTCTGTAATGACTAATGGATATGTTTATGCCCTGAGCATTTGCTCTAGGACTTTTAAATGAAATCCCCAAACTCAAGATTACCTTATTTGGAGAAATTATTAGTGTTATTATGTTTAAAATGTAATAGATAGAGCGATATTTTACCTTTCACTTTGGGACTCGCACAGGATGTTTGCAGCTTTTGATACACACGGTAAGGGAAGTGTATAATAATAACTTCGTGTGTCTTATTTTTAATAAATAGTTTACAAAGCAAATCTGATGAGATTCTACCTTATATACCCATTAGAATGGCTCTGTTTTTTTGATTTAAAAAAACAGAAAATAAGTATTGGTGAAGATGTGTAGAAATTAGAAACCTTGTGCATAGCTGATGGGAATGTAAAATGATGTTGCAGCAATAGAAATAATTTGGTGGTTCCTCAACAAGTTAAACATTGACTTAACATATGATCCAGCAGTTGCACTCCTAGGTTTATGCCCAAAAGAGATGAAAGCAGGAACTCAAACAAATACTTGTACTTCAGTGTTCTATAGCAGCATTATTCACAAGTACCAAAAGGTGGAAACAACTCAAATGTTCATCTACAGATGGAGAGATAAAGAAAATGTGCTATGTACATATTGGAATGGAATATTTTTCACCCTGTAAAAGGAATGCGATTCGGATACATGCCACAACATGGATGAACCTTGAAAACATTATACCAAGTGAAATAAGCCAGACACAAAAGGACAAATAATTGTATGATTCCACTTACATGAGATATCTACAATTGGCAAATGCATAGAGACAGAAAGTAGAGTAGAAATTACCAGGGGCTAAGGGAAGAAGGGGGTTGGGAGGTTGTTGTTTAATGAGTACAGAGTTTCTGCTTAGGTAGTGAAACATTTTTAGAAATGGACAGTGATGATGGTTGTACAACATTGTTAATAAGTGCCAGTGAACTGTACACTTAGTAAATTTTATATGTATTTTACCACAATTTAAAAAATACTAAAAAATGGAATTATTTCCTCTATGAAAGCCAAAACATAGATATCTTTTAATACTGAAGGCAGTGGTCCCAGCAGGTTGCTCTTTCCTCATGTAAAATTCAACAAAATAATCCAGTAGAAGCTTAAGTGCCATTAAACACTGGCATTCCATTCATTGTAGTCTGCATCATGTTTAAGCAACTACGACTTATCTTTTATTTGTTCCAGGTAATGTAATCACCCTACTTCCAGGTAACTAAACTGTTTACTATCAAACGTCAGTTGCCAAAATCAGCTCTAAGCTATCATAGTGTTGTATTAATACCAGTGCCATCAACCAGAATGGTCCTACATGCCATTAGTTAACCAGATCGAAAAGAAATTCTGAGTCATTTCTCCAAAGCCTGTAGATCTGCAGCTGAGAGTTGTATAAGTGAAATCCCTAAGGAGGACAAATGAGGGTAGGCTGAGCTCTGATAGTCAATTCTTAAAAAATGCCTCTGTCTTTTGACCTGCCTTCCCCATGTAAGTTCTAGATAACCTTCCCTAGCCAGGTGAGAAGAGGGCAGTGTTACTAGGAAAGACCACTTGGAGATATGCCAGGGAAGGCTTTGAGTTCTACTCTTAGAACTCCATTTACTACCAGAAAATCTTACTGTACACCACCCCATGCTTTTGAGACAGCAAAAAATCAGAATATAATTATTTAAGAGTAATGATTAATAATAATAATAAGCAACTAATATTCATGGGATTCAGTAGGTGCCAAAAACTGTCATAAATTAATTCCAATAAAACTCAGTACTATCACTATCTGCTTTTGTCAACGAGGCTCAAAGAGGTAAGAAACCTGGCTCAAAGTCATAGTGCCAGTCAATTGTAGAACCTGGATTCACATGCTGGACTTGCCTCCAGAGCATAGGTTCTTAACTATTACCCACATTTACACAGGAGTGCACAGAAATAAAGCAAGGGCATGTCCCAACTCTTATTTCAAAAACAAAAGTCTGGAATTTGTACTGTGGGCCTTTAGAATCTCTATTAGGTGTTCCTGTTTTTCTTTAGTTTTCCCCAAATCTCCTGCTATTAGTTCCTGATTTGTTCTTCCAACTATTCTACTAGTTTAAACAGGTAGATATCAGAAGCAACCTTCTGTATTCTGAATTTCACTGAGAACTCCAGCCTTCCCAGATTCATTATTAGAATGAGCCAGATTCTTCCAAACTTAACTCAAGTGCTATTTTATTTCAAGTGATTCAAATGCTTAGCTATTGTTGCTATTCCTTTCATCTTTATTTGTGTATAGGACAAGCAAAGGTTTTAGATTACTATATTTAGAGATCCCATCTGGTAGGCAAACTGTTGAACAAAAATGTTTTGTTCCTTTCATGTTACTATACTACTTTGAAATGTAATTAAGTTTCAGGATGACTATTCGCTTCTTTTATGGTGGATCTTTTGCCCTATTGAAGGTGGGGGTATATTGTCACTGGAAGATTCCTATTCATGCATTCTTTTACTCTTTGTATAGCTCCTAATTATTTTCTGTTGCTACTCATTTGCTTTCTGCCAACCTATATGCCCCTCCTTTTGGTAATTTCAGTTCTAAACTTAAAAAAGCAACTAGGCTGGGGCGCAGTGGCTCACGCCTGTAATCCCAACACTTTGGGAGGCCGAGGCGGGCAGATCACGAGGTCAGGAGATCGAGACCATCCTGGCTAACATGGTGAAACCCTGTCTCCACTAAAAAAATACAAAAAAATGAGCCGGGCATGGTGGCAGGTGCCTGTAGTCCCAGCTACTCAGGAGGCTGAGGCAGGAGAATGGTGTGAACCCAGGAAGCGGAGCTTGCAGTGAGCCAAGATCACGCCACTGCACTCTAGCCTGGGTGACAGAGCAATACTCTTGTCTCAAAAGAAAAAAAAAAAGCAAGAAAAAGAAAAAATCTCCTATTTTGCAGGGTTTCAATATCTATTAGGATCTAACGATATAAATGGCAAAGTCGCAGTTTAGTTTACTGTTCGTCAGTGTTTTGAGAAATGCTTTAGGCCACACTTGGTTTTCAAAACAGAAAAACAATTGAAAGTTCAGCCGTTAAGATTGGTATATTTTGCCTGGGTGCAGTGACTAACTGTAATCCCAGCACTTTGGGAGGCCAAGGCAGGCGGTTCACTTCAGGCCAGGAGTTTGAGACCAGCCTGACCAACATGGCGAAAACCCATCTATACTAAAAATACAAAAAAAAGTAGCCAGACCTTGTGGCGCATGCCTGTAATCCCAGCTAGTCGGGCGGCTGAGACACAAAAATTGATTGAACCCTGAGGCAGAGGTTGCAGTGAGCCAAGATCTCACCACTGAACTCCAGCCTGGGTGACAGAGCGAGACTCTGTCTCAAAAAAGAACAAAAACAACGAACAAGATTAGTATACTTGGGGTTTTCAAATGATAACAGTTAAATGAAGTTGCATTAGTCATGCAGACAGTATACAGTTACCCATTTGTTGTTTGACTCATTCTTAAGCATCAAGCCATATCCTCTCTATTGGTTAGTTTTCATCTGTTGCATCATTCAGAGACAGAGAGAGAAACACATATATATAAACAATACATACACATTGCACAAAATGCTTCAGCTTTAGGTAATTTAACATTTTTTCATAGATTAACAAAATGATTTCTTTTATACATTCCCCCTGTCCATTCATGAAAGAAAAACTAGAAAAAAACTTAAAGGTCTTGAATTCTTACAAAACAGCAAAACTATACTTTTTAAAAATGAGATTATAAATTTTAGTATAACCATTGCTTCAGTTCTGAGGGCCTTAATCTTTTTCAGTCCAGTCTTTCTAGATACAGATGTGGGTCGTTCCTCTACTTCACCTTACTACTAGATGTGCGTGGTCTCATTCTGTTTTTAGAGCAGATGGGTCACGTGGGGCATTGTGAGATGGACTGAGATGGCATTGGCATTAGGGGTAGGGGAATACATGAGCTCCTCAAACACAGACCAAATGCAGCCTTGGAGAATGGATAATGAT